TGGCCAGCCTGGGTGAGGGGCTGATGGCTTTTTGCAGGCAGGCCAAGCCCCCCAGTGGGAACCCTTACCCCATGAGGGTGTGGCCAGCCTGGGTGAGGGGCTGATGGCTGTTTGCAGGCTGGCCACAGCCCCTTCAGGGTGGTGGTCCCCGCTGGGTTGCCTGGCCAATCTGGGTGAGGGGCTGATGGCTTTTTGCAGGCTGGCTAAGCCCCCCCAGCAAGGACCTTCACCCCATGAGGGTGTAGCCTGCCTGGGTGAGGGGCTGATGGCTGTTTGCAGGCTGGCCACAGCCCCTTCAGGGTGGTCTGAGGGTGTGGCCAGCCTGGGTGAGGGGCTGATGGCTGTTTGCAGGCTGGCCAAGCCCCCCAGTGGGAACCCTTACCCCATGAGGGTGTGGCCAGCCTGGGTGAGGGGCTGATGGCTGTTTGCAGGCTGGCCACAGCCCCCAGCCACCCAAGCTCCCAGTGGAGGCTGGCTGGAAGCAGGTATCTGGGATTTATTTAGCTTCTGTAATTGAAACTTTGTTGCCTTTTGCTGAGGCCACAGCCAGCCAGAGCAGGCGGGAAGCTTGGCTTCCTCCATCGCTGGGACAACCAAGCCTTCTGCTTGCTCCAGCTCTGTGGCTGCCAGCCGCCATCTTGGTTGGGTTAATTTACATATAGCCGCTCTGATTGGCTGGTGGGAGTGGCTTGGGCATAGCAAAGTTATGGTCAATTAGCATCTTTGCTTTTATTAGTGTAGATTGTAAATTCAAAAAGGAAGTCTGTTACTTTCCATGATTTATGTAAGTTAGAAATGGATGGCAAGTTTTTTTGTGAGCAAGCTAAAATTTTTAAAAAAGACTTATAGTTGCCATGTATAGGAAAAACACATAAGGCAAATATATAAGAAAAAAAAAGAAATGCAGTTACCATGGATGAGAAAAATATAGTTTCATGTAATGCCATAAATGTGTAAGTCATGTTCCAGGAATCTGTAGTTTTAGGTTAATGATTTGCAATCAGGGTGCATTTCCCCCTAGAACAGGGGTGGGCAAACTTTTTGACTCGAGGGCCACAATGGGTTCTTAAACTGGACCGGAGGGCTGGAACAAAAGCATGGATGGAGTGTTTGTGTGAACTAATATAAATTCAAAGTAAACATCATTACATAAAAGGGTACGGTCTTTTTTTTTTTTTTTTAGTTTTATTCATTTCAAACGGGCCGGATCCGGCCCGCGGGCCGTAGTTTGCCCACGGCTGCCCTAAAACATCATGTTATTTAATTTGAGGGGGAGCCACAAAAATCTTATTTTTTAAAACCTGTACTAAGTGTGAAATACCACCAATAGGAGCCCTGAACTCCAGGGAGTTTAAGACCCTAAAGCCAAAGTCTAGAGTCCTGTGCTCTTGCGAGGTTTACTTCCCTGGAGATTTCTAGGGATGCTAGCAGTAGGGAATGAGATTGAGTGCTCATATGTGCAGACAGCCTGGTGTTTTTTCTTTGGCAATGAGATAGGGATGTGCCAGAAGCTGAGAGGAAAAGGTTGCGAGCAGGGCCAGGAGGGCCATTTGAATAGGGCCTCAGGTTCACAGAGGACCTCATGAATTTAAACTTTTGACATTTCTTTCTAATAAAACTAGACATAAAGTTATTGCCTTTGTCATTGCAATTGTGTGTGTTAAATGCATTCATATGTAAATGTAGGTATCTAACATAAACTACATTTTAGTAAGCCTTTTAGCTTGGCAGTTCTTTACTTTTTTGCATATTGAGAGTCTTAATAAGTAGAAGCATCTTAGGTCTCTTTCAACCTCAGAGAGACTCTGGTCCTAAGGGACAAGGGTAAATGGATTCCAGAGGTTCTCACTCCACATATTTGTTCCTGGCACATATGTGTGCAGATGGATGAGTGGATGTATGTATGATGGTTGAATAGTCAGACAGCAGAAGAGGACCAAAAGGGAAGTGGGAACCAAGGAACTGTGTAATAAAGGGGGCTTCAAGTTTGGAGAAAATGGGGGTTGCAGTGGTCATTAGTATATGTAGGTTGTTAGTAAATTAACAATTCCTACATTGGAAAATGTCTGTGTTTGGGTTATGATTTGTGCAGTTTAAATGAATTTATGCATTCTTACATTTGAATAAACATGAGGGAAGTCACACTTTTGAAAAATACATTTTTATTGATTTTTAGATAGAGAGAAAGAGGAGGAGAGAGAAATATCAATGTGAGAGTGAAGTATTGATGTGAGAGTGCACCACAGATCAGCTGCCTCCTGCACGGCCCCCACTGGGAATTGAACCTGCAACCTGGGCATGTGCCCTAACCAGGAATTGAACCAGCAACCTTTTGGTTGAGCTGTAACACTGCCATGTTTATTTAAATGTAAAAATGTGTAATATTAATTGTCAAATAAGCTTGATGTATAATAATGACAGATATTAAGACATGGTCTTCATATTTCTAAACAATAAGCTTCCTGAGAATAACCATCATGGTCTGTTTGGTACCCTGCTATATCCTCAGTACCTAAAACAGAACCTGGCACAGGATAGGTACTCAATAAACATTAGTTGAATGAATATACAGATGACCAAATGAATGTCAGTTTATTTTGGTTCTCAATTTTGAGTGTTAATTAAAAAAACTTTAAACCTTTCATCAAGGTACTAGAGCATACATTGTTTCTTAAATTATCTGAAGGAGCTGGTGCAGTTCCCTCCATGCCTAATGCATGTCATCAGTGGTGAGAAGAATCATTGCTGCTCACCTGCCACCAAATTCAGACATTACTCCAAATGTCTACTAACCACACTGCCTACTATTCCTTTTATTCTTAACTAGAGGCCCGGTGCATGAAAATTCATGCACTCAACGGGGTTCCTCAGCCTGGTCTGTGCCCTATCACAGTCCGGGACCCCTCGAGGGATGTCAGACATCCCTCTGGCAGCCTGGGAGCCCTCAGAGGATGTCCGACTAACAGGGAATGGGCCTACGCCATTAGTTGGACATCCTTAGTGCTGCCGTGGAGACAGGAGAGGCTCCCACCACTGCTGCTGCACTGGCCAGCCATGAGCCAGCTTCTGGCTGAGCGGCGCTCCCCCTGTGGAAGCGCACTGACCACCAGGGGGCGGCTTCTGCGTTGAGCATCTGCCCCCTCGTGGTCAGTGCATGTCACAGTGACCGGTCGTTCCCAGTTCTGCCATTAGGTCAATTTGCATATTATCCTTTTATTATATGGGATAGCTGCAAACGGAGGAAATGGAAATCCAAAGGGTCTTAGTTTTCTTGCTCTGATTGCTCTAAGTCAGCGGTTCTCAACCTGTGGGTCGCGACCCCTTTGGCAGTTGAACAACCCTTTCACAGGGGTCGCCTAAGACCATCCTGCATATCAGATATTTACATTACGATTCATAACAGTAGCAACATTACAGTTATGAAGTAGCAACGAAAATAATTTTATGGTTGGGTCACAACATGAGGAACTGTATTTAAAGGGCCAGAAGGTTGAGAACCACTGCTCTAAGTCAATCTTGGAGGGACTTTAATCCTAGGTACTTAAATTCCCATTGATTCTGCAAGCTTGAATACATGTCTTTCTGGATCTTGACTACACATGACTGTGGCCTTCTTCCCAACACCTGGTTTCCTAGGGATGATAATAAGAAGTATAGACTGATGGTTAAGTTGCTTACTGTTTGGAGGTAGGTATTTTTTCTCAAGTTCAAAGGCCACTGTGTTAGTTGTGTTTTTTTAAGTCAATCTCTCTGCTTGCCCCACACCCCCTCAGGAACAGCTGAGTCATTTCCACATGTGTTACAGATACATAGAGAAACATGTAGTCACATGACAGGGTACTTCTTCAGTGGGGTCATAGCAACTTTAATCTTAATTTTCTCTTCTTATCTACTAAGTTTCTACTCTGCTATCCCAAGGAGCTATTTAACTCATTTGCATGCATGCATGTGCATGCGTGTGTGTGTGTGTGTGTATGTGTGAAATATATATACTATATATGAAAACATTAATCTACCTCATTTTTGTTCTCAGATCTTTGTTTTGGAAATTATATAGCTTTCCAAAAATAGTTACATAGATGGCAAACTTTTGAGTACACTTATGGGAACTAAGCAATGAAATAGGTACAAATGAGATCAGTCAACAAAGAGGAAAATATGGCACCCTATCAAGAGACATCCATGCTTTAATAGTGAACTTTATCTTACAGAATGAGTAGAGGTAATGCAGGGAGGTGGTGGCCTGAGGGGATTCGGATGCTTTACCTGGCGTCAGATTCTGACTCTAACACTCACTTAGATGTGTTTCCTTGGGCAGGCAGTTTAAAATTCCCATGCTTCATCCATAAAATAGAGATACATTGCAATGTACTTCATAAGGTTGTTGGAAGGATCATTTCGTTGATACATGTAAAATGCTTATAATTGTGCCCAGCACTCAGTAAGAGTTATTAATGGGGAGGAAAACACGTAGAAGCATTTAGGCATATTCCAAACATTTAAAAATATATTCATAGACGAGTGACACACTATATAGTGAGCATATGCTAACTATAATTCTGCTCTACAATTTATAATGTAAACTGTATTTTTGTGTTTACCTTCTAGAAACTTAATCTTATTTTTGCTCAATTCTAATTTGGGGTGGTAGAGTTTTGTTTTGTTCTCAAACCTGGATATAATTAATATAATCTTAGTTTTCACCAGATGTAGTGGTCTTTCTATTCCCAAAATAGAGTCATTAGGTTGCTTCTGGAAATTTCCTTTTCAATATTCCATAGAGGGTTTATAGGAGTGACTCTCAATTCATGTCCCACAGGTCAGCCTATCAAATAACTTGAGTTGCTCCCTTCCCCCAAGACCTACTTTCTTTAAAAGAGAAAGGCATTTATATTTTTGTAGGTATTCAATTATATTCATCATCCATAGTAATTTGGGGATCTTAAAATTGCAGGGTATTATTTGGAGCAAATTTTATCGAGCATTATTAACCAAGACAAGTAATAAAGACCTTGTTCTTAACTTAGCTATTTCAATATCCCACCCAGTGATAGAGAGACCACCTGATTGACAACTGCTGATTTATAGATTTACAAGGGTCTGTCAGCCCTTTCCCCAAGATTTGAAGGCAAAATTATTACCCAAACCTATAATTAACCGTCTCTCCTTTTCTCATTAGTTTCTGTACTTTTTTCCAATCCCTCAACCCCAACATTCAATGTTCTCCCTCAGGGACTGTCCAGGGCTATCCATCATGGCACCCCACACTCTTCTGACTTTTGTAAATAGCCGTCTAATCTGGTTTTTAAAACCCTGATTTTATTGTAGGAAAATTTTATTGTAGTAGCTAAATTGATCAATTTAATTAACTGTACTTTACTCCTTGGGATAGGCTCCAAGCAGTGCCTTTCCCCACAAAAAGTTTAAGTTATGATAGGCCAATCAGGAAAAAGGTTTTGAGCCACCGACAAAATAAACTGGCCCTGTCTGCTTCATTGCCCCAAATGTTGGGGAAAGCAAAACAGGTATCTTTCATGGAACCCCAAGTGTCTGATCCTTGCTGCTAATGGTTACAGAATTGTCAGTCTAATGCCTTTTGGTGTTTTCATCCTGGTTTCTCCCAAGCAAACAACGCACACCCACACTCACATGCATGAGCAAATAAACACACATATCAAAATACTTTCTAGCTGGGCTGTAAGCTGCTGACCTGTTATTTACATGCTGACATTATTATGTTACTGTGTACAGAATTTGATTTTCAGAAATATTTTTTGAATTAGTTCTCCCCAATGTCCATGAACTCATTCAGAAAACATTTCTTAAGTGTGCTGTGTATACCAGGCCCTGCGATAACAGGTACGTGTGGCTGATCTGATTTTAACCGTGAGGAATGTGCAGCATAGGAAGGGTGGTAACAGTTAGCCGAGTCTGCTTGCCAGAGGCTGGTGCTTGGTTCACCAAGCTTCTCTAAAATGTGATATTTTGTTTTCGCAAGCTTGTTAGACACGTTGCATTAAAATACTGCCAAATTCTGTCCCTTTTTGTCCAAACGTTTTCAACTTGAAAAAGGAATTTCAGTGTGTAAAACTTTCCATTAGAAGGCCACCTGTAAACTTAAAACAGTCAGACTGTTTTTTCAGCTGCCTGCATCTCTGTTTCTCAACTGACTAATATTGACAGATAAAGATGACTGTCCCCTGAGAAGGGCTCGTGTTGTTTGTGGTTATTCTGTCACTACCAGGAGGGACAGCTCCCCTGATCCAGAGGGAATGCAGAGATACAGTTTGCAGACAGAACCCTATGCTGACTAGCAACTAAAAAATAATAGTCAAATAATGATTTCATTGTTCCATCCTGTGTCCATGACGACTGAGAGGTATGCAGCTAGACCAGAACACTGCCTGGGAGTGTTTTTTGCCTCAAACATTACTGTTTTGAGAAAGTTTGCAATTTATTCTGACAGCCAGGCTAAGGAGAAAAATGGGCATTGCTAATATCTTGCTAACTTCAGTGTCTCTGTATCCCCGAAGGTAATTCTGCCATCACTTTGGTTCACTGGCACTCTGACTCGCCCTCAAATAGCATCTGGTTTAAGGCATAGCTCCGACCGGGGTGGCAGTCAGCGACACAGTTCCCGCTGCCCTGCAGTCCTCTCTCAGCCCAGGAACAGCAGCAGGACTTTGGGAGAGTTTCTTACCCCTTCTAACTGTCCTGATTCATAAAGTAGGAATTAGTAGCAATCTTTTCCCATAAAATTGTTGTGAAGTGCTTAGCCAGCTGCTTGGCACAATATGTCCCCTTAGATGGGCAGTTTATTGTTATTATTAGGATTCTTCCCTCCAAGAATGTTCCAGGGCACTGGTTCTCAGCCTTGATGGCATCTCAGAATCACCTGAGTAACTTTAAAAATCCTGATGCCCGGGCCACACCCCAGATCAACTAAATCAGCATCTTTGGGGAGAGGGGGTATTGGGCCCAGGGTTTACCATTTTAAAAATTGTTCCAGCTGATTTCAAAGTGCAGAGAAAGTTGTACAACTGGAAACTATACTAAAGCCAAATTATTTTTTACATTTTAGTGTTGTTTTTTGAAAGTTTGAGTTAATTAATTGACAGAAATAATAATAGAGATAAATATGTGCTATTTTAACACAAAGATCAGTATAACTTCAAACATTTCCCACTTAGATCATATCTGTGCTTGTTTAAGTTTTGGAGAAAACCATTGGCAACACAAGAATAGATGCTTTTTATGTTGCTTATGCTGAATAGGCATCTTTAGCCTTCTAGTACATTATTAACTTTTTTGGACTGGGAGAGCTAATATCTGGGATAAACTCAGTTGAATTAACTATATAAGAACATTTGAATTTCTTCCTGGTAATCCCCAAAAACATTAATTATCAAGTTCTCAAAATCTTATAAAGTTTAAAACAATGAAACCACAAGACAACATTTCTGAAGGGATTTCTTAGCCCCCAGTTCTTTATTTCCAAAGTGAATTTGTCTATATTTCAACATGTTACCTTATTTTGGTGAGCAAGTTAATTCAATTTGAAGCTTCTTCAAAATAATTTTTTTAAATAAATACTTTACCTCATATTCAGTTTCTCTGCATATATAATTTTAACCTACATATACAGAGTGGGGCAAAAGTAGGTTTATAGTTTTTCTTATGGAAAATAATACAATAATTAATAAATAATATTACAGGAATAACCTCGATTTCACCTACTCACATCTTTAAACCTACTTTTGTCCCACAATGTATTGCTGCTAATCATCATAATAATTACACTTGTTTACTACTGTGAGTTTTCCACATACTTTTGCACATATATTTTTATTCATTTCTCACAAAACTTCAGTGAGGGTGGAGGTAAAAAATTAGCCTCATTTTGTAGGTGGGAAAACTAAGGCAGTTTATTAGTAGGCAGTTTAAACTGAACCAGGGCAAAATTTCTTGGTTTTTAGTTAGATATTAACTCATTTATGCATTGACCACGCACTACCAACCTGCAGATATGTGTCAGCTGCTGTTCTAGGCAGTGGGCATCCAAGATGAGGAAGACACACTTCTTGCCTTTAAGTTGTTCCATACACAGTGCTGGAAAGTTCTTAGCCTGATTCTCTTACCAAGGCAGAATACATGCCCTGAAATTCCCATGGCCCATGCTATCAACTGATCCAAACATAGGCAGGAAGAAGAAAAGAATTGAGGCTGTTCAGAAACCCATAACTACCACCTTTTACAGTTATAGTTTGTGACAATTTTATCAGCCTGGACACTAATATCCTTTTCAGCTGGATTTTTGGTGATTTCTGTCACATTAGGGAAAGCTATGGTGTGTTTTTTTTAGAATGTATTATTCAGTGATGTTTTAATTTGTTTTTCTCCAGCTTTTCAACTGCTAATGTTTGTTTACTTTTGGAAACTGTTTTGAAGATTAAGCATTTTGGTTTATTTTTAATGCTAATTCATCTTACATATTAACTGGTTTTTGAAGTAATCCTATTGCTGAATTAAAATATTCTAACTTACTAGACACAAATGAAATTCTACAGTAAGGTGTAGGGTTTAAGTTTAATTAAATTCTCTTAAAAATACATGGATTTTTTGCTTATTGTAAAGTCTTGGAGTGAAGTTATTGTCTTAACTGTCTTTTGAAATTAGCCATATTTATT